GTTACATGGTTTGAATCTTTTAGCAAAAGAGTGGAGATAATGCACCTGTCCATGGAGAGGAGAACTTCCTTGAAGCCAGCCTCACCCATACTTTGCCACCAGGTCAGTGACCAGGTCAAGTGATCCGGGGGTAACTAGGCGCAACAGAAGGGCCTGGAGCTGCTATCTTGCCCTTGAGTCTAGTGACAAGTTTCCTCCCTTTGTGCTGGCTAAGCGAGGCTGGGCAGGGCATCAGGGGATGTCCAGCCAGGCCTGGAGTCTGACCCAACACAAGCACAGATATTCCCCTGCTTGCAACCCCATCCAGGGACTAATTACTTGAAGCAATGGCATGGTAGTCCAAAGAACAAGTTCCCACTCACACATGAGGATTCAGGGAGACTGTGTGCTCCCTAATCCTATTTCCTATGGCTCCGGCCACTTGACCACAGGAGCCTTCTAAAGACATGTTCAGAAGTATGTATGATTCCACCGTGTCATTTTTGTCTGGGAAGTAACTCACTCTGCTGTTAACATCATTTCCCTTAGCACAGCTGTTTCCTGAAGGAATAAAACCTAAGATCCCTTCTCAAAGTCAACTACTGAAACCATCTTTTAATACTCTCTCTCATCTCCCAAGGCCTTGTCCCGCTTTCACACCAACTCCTTCTAGCCTCCAATCAGTGCACCGAGGTCTGATTATTGTTCCTGCTTCCCCTCCCAGGGAAAGGTAACACAGAGCCCAGCCACAGCACGGCTGAGAGATTGGTTCCCTGTGACAACCCTCACCCGCCTCCCCCACCCACAGGCCAGGCGGGACACAAAGACAAGGCTGGCCGGAAACTCTCACAGCTGCCAAGCAAGTAGCCAGCGTCCCAGGGAAGAATTCTAAGCTCACAACAGAGCATTTCTCATCTAGCTTTTCATGGGACTTGGGGCTGGGGAGGAGTTGGTGGCCAGCCAAAGACGAGTGGCAGAATAATGAAATCATGCAAGCCCACAGCAGCGATTCATGTCGCGGTGGGAATGGGGACAGGCTTTTGTGCCGACTGCCTGAGTGCACACAGAGTCGAAAACAGCAATGACTCCAGAGCCGGCGTGGAAGTTGGAAAGAAAGTTTGCTTTATCTGTAATATCTGAATCATGTTAGTAAAGGCATATTCGTGCATTAGTTGTATACTTAGGTTATATTTAAAAACCAAAAAGACATGGCCATGGCTGCTGTGTTTCTACCTTCTGCTCTAATTACCACAAACACGTATCTTTCACCTGCATCCAATTCAGCCCACAATAACCAGATGCAGAGGAGATAAATGGTCTGTCTGTGAGAACACAGGCACTGATTTGGTATTCAGGGAAGGAGTGGGACAATCAGCAAAGAGGAAACATCTTAAATGAAAACTGAGAGGTAAGTGAAAATCTCAAGGTCATTTCTAATTGCATCCAACGCCTGCATCATTGATTCCTGTCCTCTGGGACACCTCACCTGTGCGGCCCTCTTTCAGTTCCAACACACCCTTGCATTCTAAGGATCTCCACCTGGAGGTAACACATGTTAAAGTTCTGTTTTTCACTACTCTTGATGTCCACAGGACTGTCTGGAGACAGAGTGGGAAGCCAAAGCCAGAGGGACTAAGACACTGGCCCAGCTGATGACAAAGAGAATGGGGTGCTCACCTGGGTCTCTCTGACTCCTGGCTCAGAGCTGCTGAGGTTCATAAGACCCCTCTGTCAGATCACCCTGGCTTGACTCCCAGCTCTGTTCAGTGTGTGGCCCTGGGCAAATTACTTAATCTTGCTGTTGCAAAATGGAACTAATCATTCTTACATCAGAGTTATTGGACAGATGAAACTAGATGATACCTGTGAGGTGCTTAGTATGATGCCAGGAACAGAGGTGTCTGCTGGCCTCTGTCTGCTATTCCCCTCTCTTGCTTTAATCATTATTATTACCATACACCAATTTTAGAGTCTGGCATCAAGCTAGATCCCATGTTTGGCATTTTCCTTAATCCTTTTATCTTCCTAAAAAAAAAAACTGTCCCCACCTGGAAGGGTTCCCACACCCAGTGCTGTGTGTGGGTGCAGAGGCTTCCCTCTACCAGCAAGAAACTTCAGGCACCAGGGAGGTGTCCAAGAATTCAACTTAATTCAGCTCAATTCTGACACTATGGACCTAGAGATATATCAGATTCCACAGGAAAAGGGCTCAGACTCCCAAGACCGTCCTCCTCTTCAGGGATAAACTCCAAGCCCACATGGTCATCTGTGTTTCTGACTACAAACCGGCCACGACTGAGATTGGGTGTCATGGAAAGCCCAGCTTCTCACCTGTGGGCTACACATCACAGCGCCCACCTGCCCCCAACCCCCAACCCCCAGTCAGTTAATTTGCCAGAGTGGCTCACAGAATTTAGGAAGTATTTTACTCGCTAGATCGCTGATATACTGCAAGCAAATGGAACGCAGAACAATCAGGCAGGAGAGAATTGAGGGCAAGGTATGGGAGTCAGCGTCCGGCAGGGAGCTCCTGCCCTCTGAGCCCCTGGGTGCTCAACAGCAGCCGTGTAGCTGAAGCCCGCCCACTTGGGTTTTACGAGGCTTCACATCCTAGGCACAGAAGATTAAATCACTGGCCCGTGGCACTTAAACTCAATCTCCAGCTTCTCTGGAGCTCCTCTCCCCTGGAGGTTAAGGGGTGGAACTGAAAGTTCTAACTATTAATCACGTGTTTGGTTCTTGAGGCAACCAGCCACACACATTCACATAACAAAAGACACCCTTATCACTCGCCACACTTAGGAGGTTCCAAAGTTTTGGGGCCGCTGTGAGCCAGGGACTGTGGATGAAGAACAAAATGTGTATGAGAAATCTATTTTGGTCATCTTGTAGCCGGATCCCCTCCATTTCGCAGCAGAAAACACCACTAGACAAACAATTAGGAATAAGCTGAGTTAAACTACCATCACTGACTTGCACTCCAACTGTTACAAGGCACCCCAACGTGAACTGGGGTGCCTGTCTGTGGGTCCTCACCCGCACACTCAGAATTCAGTTGTACTGCAGGAGCACACATAAAGGTCAACAATGGGTTTATTTACAAAGGGGAAAGGAAAAAGGTACAACCCAGGGAAAGAGAGAGAAAGAAAGAGAGAGATACAAGTTAACCAGAACCTCCTACCAGCTTCACTGACTTGGAACTCCAATAACACACTGAAAGCTCATCAAGAGCCGAGCGGCCAGCCACCAGCCACGCGGTCCAGAGAGAGAGCCACAGGGTCCAGAGAGCGAGCGGGCGCGTGGCTCCTTTATATACCCCCAAAGGTCCCAGAATGCCTGCTTAGCTCTGCCCCTGGGTCCTTGCAGTTCTCTCCAGGGTATTGCTGGGAGTTGTAGTTTACTGGAGTAGGGGGTGGAGTCCACAAAGCTCTGCAGCTTTCCGTCAGGACATCCTCTCCCCCAACACTTCTTTAGGATACCTGTTTACTGACTAAATTGCATTCGTTCTAGGATTGACTGTTAACTCACTGAACTGTACCTCTTACCCCTCCTATGATTAACTGTTAACTGATTCCAGCTGCATCCCTGGGAACTTAGAAAATTGATGTGCTATGTTCCCTAATAAAATTCTCAGTCTCTGAGTTGACAGTGGCATCAGAAACACACATCTGATTATTGCTGAGAAAAACTTGCCAGAAAAGGCAAACACCTAGACTCCTGTGACCGAGGCTGGCCGCACCTCCGCAGACCTGCAGGCAGAATCCCTGAAGATCCCTGCATTCCTTCACCCCTTACAAAAGCCCAGCATTCCTGCCACTAGGGAAGCCAGGTTATTGGGATGCCTAATCCCCAACTCCCATGTTGACCTTCTTTCAAGTAAAGACAGCTCTGACGGCTCGGGGTTTGGTTTTGACTGCTCGGGGTTTGGTTTTCCAGGTGTCAGTGAAAGACCCAGTTTGGCCATTTACAACTCGAATGACCAAATCTGAATCTACATTTATATAACTGTAGCAGGGTGGTCCCAAAGGAAAGGGGAGGTTCCAGGTTCCATGTCCCATCCTGAGGAGAGAGGTGGAAAAACTAGAGAAGAAACTGGAGAAAGGAAGAACAAAGGATGCAGAGTGAGAAGGAGACCCGGCCGAGGTACATGGAACAGAAGCAGGTGACAAGGCTTCTGGCCTTGTGCTCGCACCAGGGACTTGGGGGACATGGAAGGAGACTCTTGAAACAGACGTGAGTGAGAGCCCAGTGGGGAGGCTGACTATGACAGCTTTTATCTTGGTTTTGATTTTGTTCCTTCTGTCTCAGGCATGCTGGACACCCTCCTGTCCCTTCCTATGGGTCCCCCCAGAAGTTCCATTAGACTTGTGACAGATTTTCAGCCCTCAGTGGCCCTGCTTTTAGCCAACCCTGTTTAGCTGGACATTTACCCATGAGGGGGTGGGTGAAAACCTTTGAGTGCTTGATTTGAAAACTACATTCTCTGTCTTTTATCTTCTCTGTATTTAATTATATTAAAATTCCTTTTTATTAAAATTCCTGTGCACTAGAGTATGTTTTGTCTTGACAAAGTCAATGACAGAGCCTATTTAAAGTGGACAGGTTTGGGGGTCCTGGGGTGCCCATCCCCTACCCAGTATCACTACCACCTCCACAGCTCCTCCCAGACCCTGTTCCCCAGCTGCCACCAGCGGGACAGCAGAGGGTGTGAGAAATCTAGGAATGCTCTCAAGGAGCAGCTTCAGGTTCAACAAGGCACACACCCAGAGTGCGAGGCAGCCGGGCATGGGGGTGCTGCTGTCCAGGGAGGGTCTGCCTCCCGCTCCCAGCCTTGGGGGCCGACGGTAGCCCCAAGTGACAGCAGGAGCAGGCTGCGCTGACTGTGTTCAGAAGGGCTGTCTGAAAGTGGCTGGCCACGGAAGCTGGAGCAGGCCCAAGCTGAGAATTCTGAAAACCCCTCCCTTCCTGGACTCCGGGTTGCCAAATACTTTCAGTTTTGTTTCTGTCTGCAAGAAACGAAACTCAATAGGAAATCTCTGCAGACCATGGAGGAAGCCTTGCAGGTGTGCAGAAACTGGTAAGATAATACTTCTCTAGCGGCCCACCTGTGAGTGGGCACACGGGGTGAGGGTGTGCCTAAAGTGAAGAAAAAGGGTTCAGGCAGTTGTATGGGTGGAAAGATCCCTGGGTGACCTGCATCCCACCCCAAGATATGTTAGACTCTCTTGGGTTGTCTAAAGTCAATGGCCAAGATAATTGTCCCTTTTGGGCTTCTTGTATTTGGCATACCTGGGGTCTCAATTTGGGTTTCTGATCATATGATTTTCACCCCAGAAAGGGAGGGCTCACGAGATTCTCTGGTGCCATTTCCATTCTCGCCTTGAGGGGGAGCTAGGGTGGCCTGTGGGAGAAGAGGGGCTTGAGGCAGCGGTCCAGTGACACCTGTAACTCAGGGGGGACTCGGCCTTTGAAGCACTTTACCCGCCACTCTCCCTATCTTGGGGGAAAGCCAGGGAGGATCCTTCGGAGAACTCTGCTTCAGATAGAGCTCTCCAGGGTCTGAACTGGCTCAGACAGAAAGCTGGCGGAGGGTCCTCCCTGTGGCACAGTGGGTTAGAGCACAGCACTGAGAAGCTAAAGCCACTTCAACATGAGTTCGATGCCCAGCCCCGGAGGTGACCCACATGGCGCGGCAGATCTCTCCTGACCTGCCCGCTGCCTCCCTCAGCAGTGTGCTTCGTCAGTCTGCCTGTTCTGCTCCCCACTCTGTCTCTGGTGAATCCTCTCACCACCCCTGCACCTCTGGCCTGTACCCCAGTTCTGTATGCATAAATAAACAAATCTTTAAAAAAGAAAAGCTGGGGGAGATAGAGACCAGGCCAGGGGCAAAAAAAAAGAAGGCCAGGAAAGTGGCCTCTGTCCTGTGTCTGTCCAGGCAGCACAGATGCAGAGTCTTCTCAGACCCCAGGTAAGTCTTTGGCCATGCCCTGGGCCATAGCCTTCCTGCCACAGCCTTGCCTACCATGCCTGTCGTCACTGCAGCCTTGAGTCTCAGTTCCCTTTCCTCCAAGCTGCCACTGGCAGGAGCTGGTTGAAATGAAAGGAAGTACTGCTGGGTGGTAAGCAGTGTTAACACCCTGCCCAGGAATTTGGGGCTCAGAAACTTAGGTGCTTCGGGTTCTCCAAGAAAGGCCTCCGGTCCCCCTGCTGGGGCACAGGCATTCCTGCGGGCGGGGATGAGGAGAGCTCACCGCCTGGACTCTGGCTGAAATCTGGCAGTGTCCTTTCAGGCTGCCCAGCATGGTGGGGCTGGACCCTCAGCTGACTGTGGACCAGGCAGAGAGTACTTCAAAACAAGAAAAAATATCTGAAAGCATTTGATATTTGTTGTTGAGCTTTAAAACGGCTTTTCTGTGGCATGATTGACATAAATTTGTTTTTAAAGGCTACCATTTACCATGTCTGACATCCATGTCTGCATATGCAACCCTCCGCCCATTCAGGATAATGGACCTGCTCCTTGACTCGCAAAGGTTTCTCAGGGTTCCTTTGCTCCCTTCTGTACCTTCTCAACATCCCTGTTCAACCCGGGCAATATAAGAACTTGTCGAGTGACCTTTCACTTCTCTTATTTTGCATGTTTTAATTTCCAACCAACATGGGGAAGGAGGACAAGGAGAATCATCGTCATTTATTAAGATCAAACGATTTTTTTAAAGATTTATTTATTTGTACATACAGAACTGGGGTACAGGCCAGAGGTGCAGGGGTGGTGAGAGGATTCACCAGAGACAGAGTGGGGAGCAGAACAGGCAGATCGATGAAGTACACTGCTGAGGGGAGCAGCGGGCGGGTCAGGAGAGGTCTGCCACACCATGTGGTCACCTCCGGGGCAGGTGGGAATCGAACTCATACAGAAGTGGCTTTAGATTCTCAGTGCTGTGCTTTAACCCGCTGCGCCACCAGGGAGGGCCCAAGATCAAACGATCTTAATCCAGATGCCCAGGCTATGAAAAATGGCTCCTCAGCTATATGTTGAAATAAGCCTGTGTTTCCTCCCCCTTGATCCTACAGCAGAAGACGCATAGTCTTGGCCCACCTGGCCCTCCATGAGGCCCACTGCCTGCAGTTCCTGGTCCTCTGTCCAGAGTGCAAGGAACCTGTCCCACAGACGAAGATGGACGAGCACCGGGAGGCTGGGCACCAGCAGGTGAGCAGAAGGAGACAGGACCGGGTGGCCATGAGAGTCCCGTCCACACACCAGCGACTCCGTCACGGCCAAGTCACTTAGTCTGCACTGTCTACTCCTATCCATGGAGTGGAGACGGAATGTCCGTTCAGTTCTCATGCTAAACTGAGTCTACCCCTGGCTTTCCCACCCCCATTCTTTCCCTTATAGGCTCATGCATTCACCAAGGTGAGTGGTCCCTGTTTCAGGAAATGTTGGAAGGTCTTTTGAGATTTGTGAAGAGGGGAAACAGGAAAGGAAAGCTCTAGAAAGCACACAAGGTTGACTTTTCTTTCCTGGTTTTTTCAATGCCTCCTAGGGTGGACCTGGGGTCCTTCCCAGGGAGCTCTGCTCTGGTCAGATCTTCCCAACTGTGTGGGGTCTGCACCAGTTCAAGGAGCAGAGCTGTGAGGAGACAGGGTTGCAGAGCAAAGGGGTCCTCGTCTGTCTTTCTGGAGCTCCTCAAACATGGCATCCATTTCAGTGCAGCGGATCCCACAAATGCTTCTTGGAAGCTGGGCTGGTGCCACAGGACAACCCAGGTGATCACACCTCACACGTGCCCTCTGGAAGCTCACAGACCCAAAGTAAAAGCACATGACCGAACAAGGGCAGCTGTGGGGGATGCACAGGTGCTGGGCGGGACTCATGTTTCTCCCTGTGCCTCTAGGTCGGGTGTGCCATGTGTCAGCAGAGCGTACAGAAGCACACCCTGGAGCTCCACGAGGTGAGAGGCAGGCAAGATCCCCCTGTGCCCTAGCAGTCCGCCGGAGGAGGCGGGGAGGGCAGGGAGTGATGATTCCCACCTGACCTCTCTCCCCTCACCAGGGAAGCAAACTAGCTCACCCCGGGGACACAGGTCTGCTTGTCTCCCACATACTGCTCACAGGATGTGCAAAGATCCATGAGCCCAAGAGAACACATGATCCACAAGAGACCCCACTCTGCCCCCTCCCCCACTCCTGCAGGCCAGTGACCATGCCTCTCTCCTCCCCCCCCCACACAGAGCACAGAATGCCAGGAGCGCCCCACTGCATGTCAGTTCTGTCAGCTGGCCGTGCGCCTCAGCAAGCTGGAACTCCACCAGCGCCACTGTGGCAACCAGACCAAGCTCTGCCCAGAGTGCGGCCAGGTCGTCACGCTCCGAGGGCTGGCCCAGCACAGAGACACATGTCGGAGCGAACCGGCCCCCCTCAGCACGGGTGAGCCAAAGAGAAGCTGGATGGGGTGCGAGCAATCGAAGTTCTCCCAGGACAGAAGACGAATGTGGCAGGTGGCAGGTGGCACGGGACAAACTCATCTGGCCATGCTAGTTCTAAACTATGTCCGACAGTGACCTCCTTGTGTGTCCACTTCAAAGGACTGGTTTGGGGAGACCAGGATCCCAAGGGTGGGGGCTGGGAGCCTCACGATGGGTCCAGAGGCAGGAGGGTCCTACCACGGGAGAATTCTTCTCGACTCCTCCAGCACAATCCACTGCTGCCGCCGGTATCCTTGCCCAGATGAGAAAGCCAGGCGCAGAATGAAGCAGGGACTTGCTAGAGCTGAGATAGGACAGGACACCCAAGATTCCTGACACCAAATCTAGAGCCTTTTCCACCTTTGACAGTGGACAGAAGGGAACCAGCTGTTGCTTCTGACCTCTGGGCCTATGTGACCTCGGGAAACCATTTCAGGTTCTCTTGACGCAGTTGCCTTTTTATGTGGGTGTTTCACAGGACACGGCCATCACGTGTGATAGATCTTCCATGGACTTCACGGGTTGTTTTTGTAATGTGGTCACATATGACAAGAGTCCTTCAGAGGCTAAATATCTCCTGGTTAAGTCTGCCCAAGGTCAAATTTGGCAAGTGAAAAATCAGAAAGGTTAAGATTCACATACATGCCTGGGCATCAGTGCAGCCCACACAACTTCCACATGACTTTATCAACACAACCCCATCAAAACAACGCCACACAGCTTTAACACAATCCACAAAGGCGTGTGCAGTAACCCCTGGTTGGATCACGGAGCCAGGAAAATGGTGCAAAGAGGGACAGTCAGGAGGGACAGGATTAGCATCTGCACTAAGGGACCCTTTGTCTCCTTGGATACCAGTCCTGCTCCAGGACAGGGTCACTCCATGAGGGCTGGGTGCTGCCCGGGCAAGTCATAAGCCCAGGCCATGCATAGCATCTGGAGTAGCTGCATTAGTCTTTGTCAAGGGCAGTCATTTGTGGTGGTGTTTCTTATTCCTTTCTTCAGGGAAGAGAAGTCCTCCTGAGAAGAAAATCCACTGTCATTATTGTAACCAAGAGATTCCAGAAAGTGTGTACTTCCACCATAAGGTGAGTAGGAATCAGTCATTTGCTAATGATGCCAATAACCAGTCATATTCCCAGAGTAGCATGGGAAAGATTAGATGCTGGGCCCAGTGTGACACAGCACGCTATGACAGCTTCCCAGATTCAGTTTTTTGTTTTTTCAAGGGGGGTGTTCATGAAGTGTGGCAGGCTGGTTTCACTCACGTAAAGGTGACAGCCCTTGGTGAGTCCCTGTAACAGTCCCTCAGGAGCCTCCTGGTCCCTCAGCCATCCCCTGACCCCCCTGGAATGTCTTCCATCTTTTGAGCCTGGATGTTGCTCAATAGAATCTGCCTTATTATTTCTTGTCCCACATGAGCTCCAAAATGTGAACAACTTTCTCGTTTTTTCCAGGACTGGGAACAAAAAGAGATCAGTAGATATTAATGGTGTGCTTGATCGATTGATTTTGGGAGTGCTCAGGCTCTTTTCTCTATGGCTTTGATCACCTTGAAGCTCCTTCTCTGCTGTCTGCCGAATACCTCCTTTTTTTTTTGCAGGCCTAGCATTTGCCCACTGGGGAAACTTATGCTAAGTTTTCTCTCCTTGGAACACAAGTCTTCCTCCTGGGAAAGGGCTGTTTACCCTTCCTTTACCCTTTAATTCCAAGAACAATGAATATCAGAATCTGAGACCCTTGCAAAGTTCTAGGTCTTTTTGTATATTGTGGTAAAATTCCTAAAACATGAGACTTATCATTAGCGGCATTAAGTATATTCACACTGCTGGGTGACTATCACCTCTCTCATTCCAGAACAGTTTCATCACCTCCAAAGCAACCCCATGCTCATTAAGCAATCACTCCCCACTCCTCCTCTCCTTAGCCCCTGGCAACCACTGGCCTGCTTTCTGTCTCTATGGCTGCATCTAGGCTGGACCTTTCTTGTAAGCGCAGGCTGTGTGGTCTGACGTACTGTGTTTCTTCTAGCTAGCCTGGTTCACCCAGGTTCACCATGTTGCAGAGGGTGGCGGCACCTCATGCCTTTGATGAGAGCAGTTTGCAGCTTCATTCATGGGTTGCTAAACATTTGGGTTATTACCACCTTTCAGCCCCATGATCTTTTTTAATTTTTATTTCTGCATACAGAACTGGGGTGCAGGCCAGACGTAAGGGTGGTGACAGGATTCACCAGAGACACAGTGGGGATCAGAACAGGCAGACTGATGAAGTACATTGCTGAGAGGAGCAGCAGGTGATCAGGAGAGGTCTGCCACACCATGTGGGTCAGCTCCAGGGCAGGGATACAACTTAGTACTTAAGCGGTTGCAGGTTTAACCCGTGGCACCACCAGGGAGGGCCACAACCTCTTCATTTTTTAAAGTGCAGTCTGTAGGGCAACAGCAACAGTTTCTGTTGGAGACTCTTTGTCCTGGATCACAGATTATTGGGGGGGCAGAACAGGCAGGGTCTCAAGGTGGGATCGGTGTCAGGTGAGCAGAGATTCCTAGAAAAGGGGGGAAAAGAGGAAAAAAGGGGAGCGGGCACGAGGAAGACATGGGGATGGGAGGTGGGTGCAAGTCTTCTTGCTCTGCCTTCAGCAGAGGTTTATTTTATATACTTCAAGCAGGCAGAGGGATGACATTAGCATATGAAATGGGCTGAGATCACAATCACCTTTTTTCTAAGAATAGTCTGGGTCGTTTTGACCTTTACTTGAGATTATAACATTTTTAAAATCAATCTATCAAGGCTAAAACAGGTACATAGATTCACAAAGTTTAAGACTAATATTACTATATTTACCGCAATGAAGATTAACCAAAATAAAGTCCCTTAAACCTTATCTACTACTTAATGGCTTTCATTTTCATAGAGACATCTTAGGGGGTAAAGTAAAGTGAGGGCAGGAAGAGGAAATTTCCTGTAATTCAAATTACAGTAAAGTTCTTTGAAAAACTTGTTAGAAAGTTTAAGTGAGTTTCCTTGAAGTCTATACCGTAAAAAAAAAAAAAAACAACCTGATTAGCTCTGAATAGGCGACTTGGGTGAATATCCTTATCTAAAGACTAGATAGTAGAAAGCTTGAGTGGTTATTTAAAAACTGAATAGAAGGCTATGTGAGATAGTAGAATGATAAGATTTGGGTTTTCCTTCATCAGGGCAGTGAGAGAGACTCTGTAGTAACAAGTAACAGCCATTTGCTTTTATTAATCAGCCAGTTGTTTAATAACTTTTGACTTTAAGAGGAATTTCTCACCCTGGTGCAGTACTTGCTTGTCAGGGCCAGGTAGCGCCTTATGAGGCTGAAGCAATCCAATTGTAAGCTGAAGGTTGCTCAGAATATTTTGATATTACGATTATACAAAAAAGGGAGGTCATAACGTAAGTTAGCATGGAAAGTCTGATTTTTCAGAGCATTTCCTCTCCATCCGTGTCTGTCGACAGAGGTTGCATAACTTGTGTCAAGTTTCACCAGGAAGCTTGTTAGAAATGCAAACTCCTAGGCCCGCTCAGAGAAATGCTAACTCAGAACATGCAGTTTCACCAGCCCCTGTGTTTCGAGTTAGAGAAGCAATGGCCAGCCCGGTGCTTCTCGGCCCTCTGGCCTGGCATCACAGCCCCATTTGTTTCCCTTGATCGAGATGCCTGGGCTATCACATAAGTGGTCCATGTCTTTCGTTTGAACCAGAAATACATGAGTGAAGCTGACTGCACCCTTTCAAATGTCCAGTCTGGCAACCACAGACAGTCACCAAGGGTGTGGGGGACTCAAGCAACCATGGAGCTGAATGGTGGTCAGAAATCTTACAAGTCAGTTCTGTTCTGCCACCTATTGACTAGACAGATTCCCGGAGCCTCCCTCTTCTTTTGAGGAAAACGGGATGATTTGTCTACTTCATGAGAACAGAGCACCCGTGACCACTTACTACCAGGCGGCCTCCCTGCCAGAGCTACACGCACCTGCTCGGCCTTCCCTCCTGCGAGCCAGACAGGCTCTCCACTTCCTGTTGAGAGCTGACCTGGGCACTACGACCCGTCTTCCTGCCTACGCAGGGTCACTGTCCTGGAAACTTCCCACCTCCCCCCACCACCACCACAACAGGAGGACCCCCTCCTACAGGAAGTGATGAAATAAGCTGCACAGGGAGGGAGACAGCAGAAGCATCTCCATGGGTTCTAACACATGTTATGGTACATTTTTGAAGCGGAAACCGTAACACTCGTTTTGATGGATTAATGGTACTACCTTAGGGGCTGCATTGAAACATTCAGTCTCTTGGGGCCTCCCTGGAGGCACAGGAGTTAAAATCTTGGCACTAACAAGCTATGGCCAGCCACAGTGCAGCCAGCCACTGAGGCAGGAGCTCCATCCCTGGCCAGGGAGCTAATCTACATGGTGCAGCAAACCCCTCCTGTCCCACCTGCTGCCCGCCTCAGCAGTGTATTTCAGAAGATCCATTCTGCTCCCCACTCTTTCTCTGGTGAGTCTTCACACACACACACACACCCTTGCACCTTGCACATCTGGCCTAGACCCCCAGTCCTGGTTTGCACAAATAAATAAAAATAAATCTTAAAAAATAATGAAAAAGAAAAGCTCAATCTCTTTCTCTAACTCTTTTTCTCTCTCCGTCCCTTCTCTCTCTCTGCAAACTAGGGAACATCCGTGGCTCTCATTTGCATTACATTAACACAACTCAAGAACAAAAAACAAAAAACACTACTCTTGATCTCATTTCCTCCAGCTACTGTCTTGTTTCTTTGTTCCCCTCTGCAGCAAACTTTGGAACAAGTTGTTTACAGTCACTGTCTCCACTTCTGCCTTCCCAGCCTTTCTCCCACTCCTACCTGGCCATCCCAACCAAAAATGCTCTTGTCAAAATTATCAATGCTCCATGTTGCCAAAGCCACAGGTCAGTTCTGCGGCCTCAACTCATGAGGGGCACTGAGCACACTGTCCACTCCTCTTCAGTTCACACCACACTCTTTCACCTGCCTCACTGCTTTCTCCTTCTCTGGCTCCCCAAACTCTTCATTTGTGTTCAACCTGTGTATTCCTCCTTAGCTCTCCTCACTGCCTCAATAATTGTGTCCAACCTTATGAGTTTTTACAAACCTTCAGTAAGCAGACACTCTCAAACTTGTATCTCATTCTGGACTTTCCCCCCCAATCTCCAGACTGGAGTTTTTTCAGCAAGAACCTGAATGGCAAATCCTTAGTGGCCTAAAAAGGTGCCCCTTTCTCTGCATCTTGGATGGTAGTATAGCTAGCCTCCGAGTTCATAGTTATTTTCTCTCAGCATTTTGAAATTATTCTGCCATCTTCCCATGTTTATGGGATAAGTCTGCGCCCAAGTGTAAGTGCTATTCTTTCATTGCACTTTTTCTTCCGTTTCTAGAGTCTCCTTGCCTTTGATCTTTGATCTTCTGTGGTTTCACTGCAATGTACCTAAGTTAAGATTTTTTAAATTCCTCCTGCCCAGAACAATGCATTCAAGTGTGATAAGATGCTGTGAGAATTCTGGATGATCTAGTTTGAGGCTTTGTACCCCCCAGAGGGATTTTTGTGATTGCTTTGGCCAAACAATTTCAATGTTAATTCTTTTCCTTGGGATTCCCAGGCCATAAGCTAACATAAATCTTGCCCCCACAGATAGATGAATGACAGGAACCCATGCTATCTGAGTTTTCAGGAACATGAGCTTTCCTTACCTGTACTCAAATTCCAACCTAAGGTAGACACCCTCCCGTGTGACTTTCCTTATCTAATTAGTTAATTATTTTCTTGTGGTTTCCATAGTTTGGTCTTCAGGGTTTCCAGTTGTGTGAAGGGGAGTCTTACTTCTAACTTCTCACATGTAGTCCCACATCTCTCAATCAAGACCTTTGATATAAGATTGACGAGGGACCTCCCTGCTGGTGTAAGGGGCTAAGTCTCAGCATTATGAATCTATCTGCAGCCACTGCAGCATGAGTTCTATCCCTGGCCAGGTGCAGCAGACCTCTCCTGACCCGCCTGCTGCTCCCCTCAGCAGTGTATTTCAGTCAATCTGCCTGTTTGTTCCCCACTCTGTCTTTGATGAATCCTCTCACCCTCACACCACTGGCCTGTACCTCAGTGTTTGTATGCATAAATAAATAAATCTTTTAAAAAGGTTGACCCCTGCATCTTCTCCCATGTGTCAGCTCATGTGCTAACAAGTCAGGTCTTCATTCCTGAAACATAGTTATCTTTCTTGCAAAGTCGGATATAAAGTTAAGCAGATGCCATATTTAACCCAACATTTGTGTTTTTAGTAGGAGGTGTTCAGGTTACTTCATCTATTCTATCACCCACAAGACCCAAAGTCACTTTTAACTTTCTATATCATTCACAATTGCAGGGGAAATGCTGTGCAGTCTCAGAGTGTGTGAAATATTTTCCAGTTGGAAAGCCAACCACTCCTTCTCCAGCCCCTCCAAGTCAGCCTGCAGAGGATCTAACTTCCTCGGAACAGAAAGATGTCCGTCCAAAGATGAAAAATAGGAGCACGTTTCCTCTTCTTTCAGAAAATTCAACTAAGCTAGCACCAAGCAGCACCAATAAGACCATGGATAGACCTTTGAAGTCTGAGCACGACCCCGGGGGTGCATCTCCCGCAGAAGATGAGGCAGCCTATGATATTCTGAGAAGATGTGTTCAGTGTGGTATCCTGCTCCCCCTGCCAACCCTAAATCAGCATCAGGTACCCAGCTGTCCTCTCCTGGCCTGGCTGTGCACCTCTGAGCAGTGTGGAGAGAACCTAAGACCTGTACAGTCATTGCCACTGGAGAGCCCCTTCTCTCTCTCCTTCTCTAAGTGCCAAGTTCTCTTTCCCATAGCACTCACTGCCTGGATTATTTGCACAGCCTCAGAGACCAGGCCACCTTTGAAAGACAGCCAGCTCTTTCATTTCTGCAGCTCCAGCTCCTAGCACAGGGCAAATTCTCCAAAACAACAGAGTAAATGAATGAAGCAGAGGCCACGAGGTCTGTGGCTTTCAGAGTACAAAGAAGGCTGGGCGATCTGAGATCAGAATGTTGCTCAAGACCCCAAGTCCTCTGGTGGCAGGCCCTAGGAAATCAGAGGGTATAGCCGTTCCCCTCAATATCCTGGTTTTTACATCCTAGATTGTTTTCTAGTCACCACAAGTAGTATATTAAAAGCAGTTAATTCTTAGGAGCCAATTACAATGCAAGACCTTTACAAGTAGTTCATGCTCATTATAAACAAGAGGCAGATATTGCATCCCTGCGTTATAGTTGAGGAAACAGGGCAGAAAGGCTAATTGGGTTCTCTAAGATTACATAATCAGAGAATAACAGAATCCAGCCTATAATCCCACATGTATGTGGTTCTAGAACTGGTACTCTTAAATTCCAGCCTGTCAGCCTCACTCACCGAGAGAGAGAGAGAGAGAGAGAGAGAGGGAGAGAGAGAGAGCTTTTGTTATCTGGTGTTTTTCAAAATACAGAAGTATTAGATTGTGTCGTAACCAGCTGACATAAGACTATACAGAGGCATTTACTCTTCCCGCTCCCACCCACCCCGCAGTTTCCTGCCCTGAGATAGCAGGTGTGGCCGCTGATGCGTGTACTTCAAAGCCTTGAGCACTGCACTGTTTTATTTTCTCCATATGTCATCTTACTGTACATGTGACACTGTCATTTGCCTTTTCCAGTCAGCCTTACATAAAGATAGACCTATGTCTTTTTCTCTAACTTCTTTAGGCATCTCTATGTGCACATAAGCGTATATTTTTACAAAGATGGGACAATTTCAGTCTTGCTGGGAGGTGATGAGTCTCATGTTTGCTTGCCTCCCACAATTTGTTTCATACTTTCCTCCATCCTGATATAATAGGGTTGACAATGGAGCAAAAACTATATATGGTTTGGGACAAAAATAACTACAAAATAATTACACGGGACATACTTATGCTAAAAATATCTTTGTTTTTCTAAAATGAGCTGGGCATCCTATATTTTATCTGGCAACACTATTATATAACCACATACAAACATATCCATTTGGAGTCCAATTATACACAACTTCTTTGCATTTTAATGTTATGATTCAGCAATACCCAGGACATTCTTCCAAGTCAAATGATGTGGCACTTTTTTTAAATGGCTATTACTGCTCATGGGGTGGATGTCCTCTGTTCGGCCCCCCCCCATGTCCCCCTTGCTGCCATATCTAGCTCTATTCAGGACTGTCCCGAACCCCTCCTGGCTTGGTGAGCTCCTTAACGTCCCCCTTCCATCTGTGGCTCTGGCTTCACACTCCCAGAACCAGAACAGCACTATCCAAAGATGTCCCAGGAACTGCCACTTCCCACTTTAAACACATGAAACTTTTTTTATATCTACTTCTTTAGGAAAAATGCTGGAGGTTAGCGTCATGGAAGGGAAAGCCAAGTGTGAACTTCCAGCCAGATTTGAAAAAGTAAAGGTACAGCAGATTAAGTTTTTATTTTGACACTGGCTTTCCTGCTTATTTTCTGTGGTGGTCTTTACTCCTGAAAAGAAATGTGTGTGTTCATTGAGTTTCTTTTCTGTAGAAGAAAAGGTTTTGGTTAAATAAGTATGTTCCTTCCTTTGAACAGGGATGTTTGTCCAAGAGCTACAGATCGACCAGGAAGGAAAAAGGGGATTCCAGCAAGTCTACCCCCGGAATTCTGATCAAGCCTCTGAGTGGGGCAAACTTACTGCCATCTTGGGGCGCCCAGTTTTATCCCCGAAAGAATAAAACCTCCTCCCTGAAAGCTTCTTGTTCTTCATTGTATTGAGATTCATGGGGTTTCCCAGGGTGCCAGAAGCAGCTAGGAGACTAGTGAGGCTTCGTGCATAGTGAGGGGAGACCAGAAAACCGGAACTGGAGGGTGGCAGGAGAAAGGAAACTGAAGGTAGGCAAGGACCAAAAGAGCCCAAGGGGGTGTCTTTGCAGGCTGTGAGCAGACAGAAGCCTAGGAATGCCCCCTGTGCCTCTTACCTGTCTGCCTGGCCTTCGCTGGGGAGGAAGGGAACAAGGAATTTGCTGGGTTCAATGTGCCCACCCTGCGGAAACTGGAAAAGTGGGGCGTTTTCAAATTCTGTCCTGGGTGCCCTGTCTGGAGGAGAAAGCAGAGGTTGGCCACATTGCCAGGGGCTGCTTCCCGCGGAGATATGCACACATCGGGTCTCCAGGGACTTGATAGAACCCCGGGGCTGGGTCATGGCGGGAAAGGTGGTGAAGTGAGCAAGGCTGAGCCCCGAGTTCGGGGCAGCCCTGCTTCCTGGCACGAGAAGGGCTGCACGCATGCTGGCCTTCACCCCGCGCAAAGCGAGTTTAGCTGCCGGCCCTGGCCCGGGCGCCTTCCCGGACAGTCTGCGCTGGGGCGCGTCGAGAGCTCCGCACACACGATCGCCTGATCCGGCAACTCCGGGTTTGGGGCCCTGTGCCCACCGAGGGCAGGCAGAGCCCTGCAGGTGGCAGCGCGTCACAAAGGCAGCCCTCTGCTCGGTATTTAGCCAAGGTGCGACCCGTGTGGTCGCGGAGTCGGCGTCGGAGCGGGGCGGCGCTCAGAGCAGGCAGGAGCCCACAGACCCTGCAGCCCCAGGGGGCGCAGCCCGAGTGGGGGCCCAGGCTGAACCCCGCCAGCCAGCCGGTAACAGGTGGGCGGGGGCAGCAGGACCACCGGTGGGTGCGGAAAGGGGTCAGGGGGACACCCGGAAGCCCTCCTGGGGAGAGAAGGGTCTCCCTTCTCTAAGCTTCCTCCTAGAGGCATCTCTGCCTGCTGGAGCTTCGAGGCCACCTCCCCTTCCCCGGGGTGATTGACATGCTTAGGTTTCCTCCCCGCTGGCTGGTGGAGGGAAGCCATGGAGTAAGCCTAGGTATAGGAGTCCTCAGGTGGGTGGGATCCCTCCACCCCACTAGGTGCTCTCACTGGAAGACTTTCTTAAGGACACCTGTTTTCCCATTTGTAAATTGGGCCTGTTCCTACCTTCCTTGATGCAGAAGCACCAGGACAGCAGACACTTGAAGAGCATGTGCTATGTGCCAGGCACTGTTCTGGCACTTCTTTGCATCCACTCATTTAATCCTCCCAGTACGATTATTACTGCTGTTTACACACGTGGGGACCAAGGCACAAGACATTAATTTCCCTGAGGTCGCACACAACGGCTGACAGAACCAGGAGCCAAGCCACCAAGCTGCACTGCTTCTCACTGGCCAGGGGGTCAGGGAGGGGAGCTCCAGGAATCACACATGGCTTTCCTAGCCCAGCAAACATGTTCTCCCACTCCCACCAGTGGTTTAAAGTGTCTGATAATACTTCTGACCAGTGACTGCTAGAGCAAAGGATTTCCTCTACACTCTCAAGCACCTTTCCAGTGCCTCACTCCCTGCTAACTGCTGTGGCGGCCCCGAGCCTGTGCAGTAAGATGTGATTGTAGAAACAACTCCGTTTCTTCATTTGTGAGTGCCTATTCAAAAGAAGAGTAAGGTTGTCCCTCGTCTGAAGGTGCCATGGAAGAGATAGACTCAAATGCAGAGGCCACTGGAGCCCTGTGCCTGGACAGGGTGGGTGCCGCGGCACCCATGTGGAAGCCAGTAGGGGTCAGAGGGTGGTTGGGCTGGCTGGAGGCAGGAACCAGATCGTAGGTGATGGTGATGGGGGAATAGTGCAGACAAATGCACTGGAGAGGACCCAAAAAAAGCCCCCCCCCACCCCGGTCATCATGGTGTTGCAAGGAGCTGAAGCGGACCAGGACCCCATCTCAAGGACAGGGGCTACAAGAAATGGAGGGTTGCCACCCAGTGTTCTATGCAAATGATGGGGGCAGTGGGTGAGAGAGACTTATACAGAAAAGCATGAGTGAGGTCCACTCATGGTAAATACACATTTGGCAACAACAGCCAGCAGAGATATATATCAAACACCTGGAATAGTTACCTATGGTAGAGGGTAGGAAGATACAAATAAATGCAACCAAAGAGAAGTGTTGCACAGACATATATTTGTTTGAGACTGAAAAATATTATCAGCTTGTCCCTCTAAGGCCGACCACGTGTGGAGGCAGGGCCAACATACAGGAGAGGCAGAAAGTCTAGGTTCTACTCTGGGCCCTGTTACTGAATCGCTGTGTGACCCTAAGTAACACTCCTCATCTCTCTGGGCCCTAACTTCTATCTGAAGAATCAATGCTCAGATCTCTTCCAGCCCTGAGTTTTTATGAGCCATGATCCATAATGTCAGACCACTTGGTAAAATAGCCAGCAAACGCTTTCTAGTGACCACTGGAGCTTTGGAGAATGAGCACTCAAAGACAGGGAGAGAAGAGGAGGATGTCTTCAGGCAAGGGAAACTCTGGAAGCAAAAAGTCAGGAAAAAGTTTCAACACCTGGCTATTAGAAGTCCATCTGGCGCTCAGTGCATGAGGTGGCCTCCACCCAGCTCTCCCTGGCACTCCCTGGTAGTGGGCAGGACCCCCTACAATCCAACAGTAGAGCCAGAAGCCCTCCGATTGTCTGTCAGTCTGCATGACTCACCAGTTACCAAATCATGTCTTCCAAAGAACTCACAAACTCACCGCATTCCGGCTGTAATGACACTCTCGTCCCAGGGGTCTGAGCTCCGCTCCGGTCCTCCCCCCTGGCATGGCCTTCCCCTCCCCGGCATATACTCAACACAGCCGCCTCACCTCTGACATGCGCCCTTTCTCCCTGCCTACCCAGGACCTCAGTGGAGCCTCTCTGCCTCTGTTCTGTTATTTACTGTTTGACTGTAAGCACAGCCATCAGCAAGGCCACTGGATGCAGACAAGGATTCCAGAGAATCTATGTCAAAATTCCAGTGTCTTCAGGGGAAAGGACAGTGAGGCTCCCTGAGCTCCAGAACCTCTCTTTTCTTCTTCTTTTTCTTTTCATTTTTTTATTAATATAATAGTTTATTTTTACATCATTTTGTGCCTTTTTCCATCTCAGTTGTAATTTCCATGAGCTTCCCACCACCAAATTAACTGTGTGCCATCACCATAGTCCAGTGCACTTCCCACCCCCCACTGTTTTTGATCCCATTCCCCATTCCACCCCCGTAAAATGTCTCTGGTATATAGTTGCAGAACCTATCTTTTAACCCATGATTTGGGGCTCCTGGAGCTAGCAACTCCCACTGTTTCATCACTCCCTGCCCCTCATAAGTTCAACTGCAAATAATCTTCAATCCCTGAATATGAACATACCATGTACATTCACAGTTCAGTGGCTTCCTAAGCATTATTCCCTCCGCCCAGAATGTTCCCCCACCACCAGGAGGACAAGTCTCACTCACCCTGCAAAACCCAGCTCAGCTAGACCTTCTCTGAGCAGCCCTCTCCACGTCCTCCTTACCCAGGCAGAGTTAATCACCTACAGCTTATGCTACCCCACACCTGAATACGCCTGGACCTTTTCACACCTCCTCCATGCTGTAATTTTGTCCTGTTCTGAGTCCCCGCTAGACTCCGACACACTGGGAGTCCTTCCAGGGGTAGAAGGATGTAGAAGAATTCATCAGCACAC